TTACGAGAAAAAAGTCGTAACGTTGTGAGAAAAAAGTCGTAACATTGCAAGAAGAAAGTCGTAACATTGCAAGAAGAAAGTCGTAACATTGCGAGAATAAAGTTGTAATATTGCGAGAATAAAGTCGTAACATTACGAGAAGAAAGTCGTAACAATGCGAAAATAAAGTCGTAATATTGCGAGAATAAAGTCGTAACATTACGAGAAGAAAGTCGTAACAATGCGAAAATAAAGTCGTAACATAAGGAGAATAAAGTCGTAATATTGCGAGAATAAAGTCGTAACATTACGAGAAGAAAGTCGTAACATTGCGAGAATAAAGTCGTAATATTGCGAGAATAAAGACGTAATATTACGAGAATAAAGTCGTAACATTGTGAGAATAAAGTCGTAATATTGCGAGAATAAAGTCGTAACATTGTGAGAATAAAGTCATAACATTACGAGAATAAAGTCGTAACATTGTGAGAATAAAGTCGTAATATTGCGAGAATAAAGTCGTAACATTGTGAGTTGTAATATTATGAGAAGTTGTGATTTAATTTTTTTATTTATTTATTTTCTCTTGGTATGGCCCTAATACTGTTGTACCTAAACATGGTAATTAATCAAACATAGCTGTTTCTGTAAGTTGTGAGCTTAGAAATCTAGAATACAGACATCAGTAAGAAGTCAGATTAATGTGTATATATATAATAAATAAATCAAAGGGACATTGCAGCTCTTTGTGTCGGTCCGTAGACACTTTGAAACTTCAGTCACATGTTTTTCATAGATTTTGTGGCCAACTGTCCAAAAGCCACAAGCGTTCCTCCTGAGTTTAACAGCTCTTCATTTTTCATTCCTGATGTCGTTGTTCTTCGGTCAGCTGTTACGACTCCCTGCCAGGGCTCGATATCAAGAATGTCCCGCTGTATCCAGGGACGAATAAGAATAGCAACCAGGGACACAAAGTATACAGCGTGTGCGACAAAGATAAATGTCTCAGTACAACTTAAATTATTGCCTTTTTATGCATCTTGGAATATTTATTATTAGGTGCTCAACTTCAACAGATGCACACGAGCTCTACTGTACGTCTCACACAGGTTTCACACACAGTGATAGGGAGGTCACTTCCTCTCCTCTAGCGCCACACACAGGCAGTCAGTGTGGCATGTGGGGAACGTTTGACCTTCTCTTTCTCTCTGGATTAGGATGTTCCTGTAGCCTTTTTATCTTAGGGCTGCACAATTAATCACAGTATTATCACAAATAAGTGCAACATCCAAACCGCAGAATGAAAAGAAAGTGCTGTAGTCCTGCAGAGATACTCGGGCCTATAAATCTTCTTGACACTGTGGAGAAAAGTTAATTTCAAGCCCCGCTCGCTGCCTTCGCTGCAAGGAAATACAATCACATGAGTGAAGAGTCAAAGGAACTGCACAGCCTGCAGCTTGTGCTCGTTTATTCCCACAATAATGACAGAAAAAGAGATTTGACTTGAGCAACAACAAGTGGTTTATTTGAACTGAAGCATTGAGAGGAAGAGCTGCCCAACAGAAACTATTAAATTAAGTTACCGCTCCACCATATGAGATCTTTTCCATTGTGGCTGTTTCAGTCTCAGCATGCATTTGGGTGTGACAGTTTATCTGATGCAAAGACACATCTGCTCTCCCGGAAAAGTCATGTGACTCTGGTCCCCACATCTGTTAAGGTTCTGCGTCCTCTCTCTGCTCTGTTTCTCTGATCCTGCAGGATGTAACACTCCTCTGGTTCTCATCGTATGCACGTGTGCAGGAAAGACTCAGGACTATCTTTAAAACCGAACTCTACCTCAGGAAACTCTAAAACTTAACTTAAAGCTTCAGCATTGGACTCTCTGATTGTACAAAAAGAAAACATTTATATTATTTCTTTCAGTTTTGTGGTAAAAAAGATAAAATTGCTGTTTAATAAATGAACTTTTTGTCCTTTTTTGTTGCAGCAAACGTGCCAGGCTGCAGTGGAGAGAGTTGAGGTTAGTGTAAGAACACTGCCGCTTATGGTTGTTATGTGAAGGAATGTTACTCCGTGTCGTCTGGTTGTCGGATAACCACGACTTTCTGAGCCGACAGCTGCAGCTCGATGACTGATGTCTTCGCTTTGACACCGCAAAAAAGTGTCCAAACCATCTGTGACAAAGCTGTCGGCTTTCTCCTTCCCCATGCTGATTATTTTTACACAGTGTCTTTTTGCAGCGTCATGAAACGTTATGGAAACTGTACTTATTGTGAGGGCAGAGAATAAACTTCATCTTCCTTTATAGGTCGTAGTGAGTGCGCTTACTCCTAAAGGCTTTAAAGATTCAATTAGTCATTGTTTGACTAGATAACAGATCTATAATTTATATATAATTTAAGAGTTTATTTGGCTGCATAATTATAAAAATAGACATTTTCCTGCTTTATTTACAAACTATTAACAGCATCAGAAACTGTAACATCCTAGATTTAGTTGCCATGTTATTTTATGTTATTTTCAGTCATTTTGGAAGCGGTGCTGAAAAAAGCTCATTCTCATTACAGATTAATCCGTCGATCATTTCCTTGATTAATCGATTTAGTTGTTTGTCCGATAAAATGTCAGATAATGCTGAAAAGAATTATATAGATAGTCAGTTTACTGTCATAGAGGACAAAAGATGTGAGAAGCTGAAATCAGAGAATTTTGTCTTTTAAAAATGACTCAAACGAATCGATTATCAGAAGAGTCGTAATAATCTTTTTGCTCACATATGGATGATTGATTGTACCTTTTTAATTTCTCTTTTATCCCTCTGCTCCACATCTGATCTCTCTTTATATGATTTAAATGAATCAGTACAATCTTAAAGAGATCATAGCTGTTAAAGGGAACACAAAACACTGTTTATTGCACATTTTGAAGGAGATAAAAGTTGTTATCAGATGAAAGTAACCTGCTCTTCTGTCTCACTCTGTGTCTGCTGTTGATCTCTGGACCCCAGAAAGTATACCGGACCGTGGAGCCCACGATCAACACGTCCGTAACAACAGTCACAGGTGAGAAAACACGACTTCAGTCAGTGCAGTGTGTGCTGCGTTTGAGCTGATCTGAGATACAGAATGATCACATGACAATGGATCCTTCCTTCCCACCTTATTTTATTCTTCAGGTGCATACCAGTTCCTCAGTGACCCTCCTCCCGACCTCTACCCCAGTGTAGCGGTGGTGAGCTTCACTGGCTTCCTTGGACTTTATCTGGCCAAAGGTAAACTGTGCAAGTTCAAACACAAACACAAACACACACACACACTGACCTGCTTTCCCTGACAGAGACGAGTCTCACTCGCACCGCCACAGAGACGGAAAATGTGTTACACTGTTCATCCGTCTGCAGCGCTCGAGTTATTCTGTAAGATAGCTCAAGGTTGTTTCAGTTCAGGCCACAATTGTCTCTTTCAGGAGACACTAAAGCAACCATGAACCTTTTAAAAAGTAATTCCCTGTGGCCACTTTATCTCAGTTCACCTGGTGCACTAGTGTGTTATTGCTGTCAAGAGGGCGTACAAATAGGTTTATAAGCCTCTCCACGGGTAACATTTCTCCCTGTGTGACAGTTGAATGTTGGTGCTGCAGCGGAGGTTTGTCTTGAAGCTGTAGGAAAGTGAGGCAGAGAGTCTGCGTGAGGTGAAAGAGAGACAGGTGCATTTCTTACAAACAACAGGAAGTTAGTGATTGCAGTTTGGCACGTTGAACGCAGCGAGCAGCTGGAGCAGTGTCTGTGACACACAGCTCATGGAGGCCATTGAGGGAACTTCAAAAACATTCAGGGTCCGGTTGCAGCAATTTGCATCAGAAATTTGCATTCCTTTCTGGGAGTTTGTAACTTATTCAAATCTTAACATGCAGACTAGAAACACACTGATATCATTCAGCGTGACTTAACCTGTCAGAGGACATCGTTGTCTTTGGTGTCGAGTGCGAACAAACATCCAGAAATCTTCTTAGAAATCCTGGGAAACACAAGCTGTGTCAGAGATTCTCCCTTTAAAGAGTCAAATAAAGGAGTGCTGCACTTTATGAGTAGCTGCTGTTTGTCTTTGTGAAAGAAGGTCAGTTCAGTTCTCACAGCCGCTCCTTCACTCCGATGTCCGTTAATACCTTCGCCCTCTCTCTTTCAGGCTCCAAGGTGAAGCGACTGGTATTTCCAGTTGGACTGATGGCTCTGAGCGCCTCCATGTTTTACCCTCAGCAGGCTGCATCCTTACTCAAGGTGTGTGTGTGTGTGTGTGTGTGTGTGTGTGTGTGTGTGTGTGTGTGTGTGTGTGTGTGTGTGTGTGTGTGTGTGTGTGTGTGTGTGTGTGTGGGTGTGTGTGTGTGTGTGTGTGATCACCTCTCTCACACACACACAGTATTACACCACACGGGGAGTCTTACAATAGATGGAGTTACAATAGAGCTGCATTCAGTAACATCCCAACATCTGTGTAAAGCTGCTGTTACATGTCCACAATGTGGACATTTGTCTTCGGTGTCACCGTGAGGCATGTCATAAAAACATAAAACATCAGGACAACGTCAGGAGCACCTCTCTGTATCCTCGTCTGCCGGATCCTACTTTAATTTATTACCATGACGGCATTTGGTAAATAGAAATAGTTACAAGCCATCAGCAATCCGTAACGTCTCCCTGGAGGTCGTTATGTGTATGGTAACAACTGAATCAGGTCTAAAACTAAGTTCAGTTAAAATAACTATTTTTATTTTAATAGTAAAGTTTTGTTTACACCTTTGCATCTCTGTTAAACTGATAAATGGACTAAATACTTTTAGAATAAAAGAAACTCGAAGGTATCCGAGCGAGACAGTCAGACCTGGTTTTCTCTTTATGTGTAAATTAGGCCCTAAATAGGTGAATGTGAGGGTCCATCTATAAGCTTAACATAGTTAACAAGTCAGCAAAGGCAAAAAGGAATGAATCTGTTTTCACCTCTTTATTGAATGCTCCTCTCAGTACTGAAATATACTCGGGGAAACATCTGTGAAAGCAGGAACAGTGACATACATTCAGTTTATTGGTTGTTTTATTTTTAGCTACACATTATTATGTTAGCTAGGTCTTTTCTTATGGGCACCAGTGAGCCATAAAGTTCATTCTAGGAGAGTTTTTCAACAGGAAAGAGGAAAAATATCACACCCTCGCCCTATAATCTGTGTCTGTCCAGCTCTGTCGGACATCACGTAGATTCAAAGTTTCCAGGCAGGTCTCATGCTTTAGTTAGAGCTGTATCAGTGTTTGTGTTTGATCTGTGACTCGCTTCCTTTTAGGAAAGCACAACCCTTTTCCTGCAGGAAGTCCTGGCTGTGAATGGTGTTTCTAATTCCCACTGATGTCTGGGTCATTTTATGTACTGTATTTCCTCCCTGAGAGAGGTCATACAGACACAGAACACAGAGGCACACCCCGATTCGATCACAGCAGAGACGAAGCAGACAAACAGGGCAGGGTGCAGATATGAAAACACATGAGCCAACGAGATAAAAAGAACACGTTGAGCCACTTGTGTGCAAGTCAGAAGATTTCTCTGAAACTTGAGGGAGGTGTAAAAGACAAAACAAACAATTGTTAAGTTATAAAGTATGAAGGGAAAAGCTCCAAACTCAAAACCCTGATGCAGTATTTTTATATTCAGTTCTGTAAATTGACATTTTGGCAAGATGTGATCCATCAAAACTTTAAAATATAAAGATTACATCAGTTATGAATCTAGATTTGCTTTCTTGGATTTGTACCTGCAAGTTGGATAAGTTCCAACATGTTCCTGGAAAAACCTGGATATTTAGAGACTTGTTTTCCAGCCATGGAAACACCTTGGAAATGGATTCAAATGACCAAATATCCTGGAAACAACCTGTGTTGTCCTGTGAATGATAAATGGTACTTTATCTCCTCACTCATATTGCGTAAATAAAACCTGAGTTAGAGGAAGACTGGAGTTAAATCACCGGAGACGCTGCAGACAAATCAGCTGTGGTGAGAACAAAGGAAAGCACAGTGTGAACCTGAGTCACTTCATCATGAACCTGCATCATCAGAAAGGGGAATAATGTGTCAACACTCACTCTATCAGTGTGTTTTCCACCAGGTGAGTCGGGACACGGCGTACACCTGGGCTCAGCAGGGCCGCGTCACCGTGGAGACGCTTTGGAAAGAGCCGCCGTTTGGTAAAAAGAAGGTGAGTCTGTGTGTTTTCTCTCAGTATTTAGAACTTGTATCATTACTGTATAAACTCATTTATTCTCACAGCTGTTCTCACTAACGTGTCTCTTTGTTTGTGGGGGAGAAGAAAGAGACGTCAGAGAGCAACGACACGACCAGCTGAGACAGCAAGAAGACACACACACACACACACACACACACACACACACACACTCAGGCCCAGAGCCTTGTGCGAGGGCCTGTAAGCTGCAGTATTTAAGTTTATATCACAGAACTCCTTTCTGTTTCCTCTTCAGTCATTCCTGAACGCCGCCGCCTCTTCCAAGAAGCAGGTTTACACATCTTTCTGGCATTCTTCTGCAGGGCATATTCCAGGTTTGTGACCCTGCTTCTTGGAAGACTCCCTCAGCTCCTCCTCCTGTTATCATTCCAAGTCTCTCCCTCGTTGACCTAAGCTCTTCCAGTTTCTGATTTGATTAACAAAACAGGGTCACGGTGTAAAATGTCTGCAGTGTTATCGGCAACACGTCCACAATGTGTGCCACCGCCACGGCACAACACCGCCCGGCAGACGGGCACAGAGACACATGGAACTGTTGGAAAACATCAACGAAGGAGCTGAACGATTAGTTGATCCACAGAAAATCACTCAAGCAGTTAATTGTGAAGTAATTTTGGTGATTCCAGCTTCACAAATCTGAGTATTTGCTGCAGTTGCTTGTCTTACTTTGTAGTAAACTGAATATCTTTGGGTTTTAAGCTGTTAGAAGACATCACCTTGTGTTCTGGGAGCGATATGGACATTTTGTTTTCTCCTCTTTTATGGACCAATTATTTAATGAAGCCCTAAAAGGAGCAGGACCAATGTTAGAAAACACAAATAGAAGGAATTTTCCACTTCTGAACTCCACTACTGAGGTTATTTATGTTTTTTTTGTGTTATTTGTGTTAGTAGAATATCTTAAAAACATTTTTGGTGCACATCCGTCCTTTTTAAAGCAACACATTTGGAGGATTGTGGAGACGTATGTGTACACGGTTCGTCCTGATATCAACTCCTGTTCACTTTAAAGGAATAGTTCAACATTTTGGGAAAAACACACTTTTCTTTTCAGTTTCCTGCTGAGGGTTAGATGACCGGATCAATAACACACTCACATCTGTACGATAAATGTAAAGGTGGAGTCAGCTGCTGGTTAGCTTAGCATAATGAATGGAAACAGGGGGAGCAGATGGATTAAGAACAACACAATGTTGTGGGTTTACAGCTGTTCTGTGGTGGATTATTTCTTTTATTGACCAGAAACTTTCTTCAACTTTCGACTTTATTTTGTCCTCTGAGGACAATTGGATTTTCCAGCAATGCATAGTACAATACATACAAGGACATAAACATAAATACAGGCCTAACAACACAACACAAAGCCACTGCAGCAACAACATCTAAAAACTACAAGTGGCAGCTGTTTCCAGTCTCTATGCTAAGCTGAGCTAACCTGCTGCTAGTTTCAATCTTTATATTTAAAGTGCATCGATCTTTTCATCTAACTCTCAGACAAAAAGCAGATATTAATCTTTCCCTCCAGCCTTTCCTCTCAATGATCGTTCAGTGTGTTCACTGTGTTCATATTTATTTCAGCATTACTACTGCTGTGCTACAGTAAAGGGCCGAATAATGTGTGTACTCCAGCTTGAGTTACTAATGGATGAGCTGAACGTGTTATTGTCCCCGTGTCTAATAATGCACTGTATATACTGTATGAGGTTTTATTGTAATGTAATTAAACCTGGCATTCGACGGAGGTGATGAGTAATTCATAAAGTAAACCTGTGTTTGTCTGTACAGAGATGCTGGTTAGAAAAACGAGATCTTTAACTCCTGCTAAATGATAAATTCATACATTTATTCTTTGATTTATGGTTAAATGAATATAGAGTATCACTAAGACTGGCTCTGTTTGGGTAATCCTGGTGTTATTGAGTCTAACGCTGACGTTACTACATCAACATGAAGCCGGTTATCAACTGTTTGTTCTTTACTCAAACAAATGACACAGCATCATCAGAACCAGGAGGGAAGCACTTACTGAGATCCACAGGGGGGGTATCTGGGGGGCCCTGGTAGCTCACCTGGGTGGGTGTCATCCCCTCTCTTTCTCCCCCATTCCCTGTCTATCTGTCGAGCTTTTTCTGTCCAATAAAGGGACAAAAGCCCCTAAAAAAAAAAGTGACATTGAAACATTAATAGAATTAGAAACTGTAGGAACGATATCCAAATATAACACAGGCCTCTTTAAACGCTTTCTAAGCTGCTGAGATATTTAACACTTAAACATTCGTTGAGTTCAGAGCTGATAAGACAACAGATGACAGGATAGATTTCCTTTCACGGTTCCTCCCACAGACCCTGAACTGGAACAGACTGGTTCCCAGTGCTGACTGCAGGCTTGAGGGAGGGACTACAGTTTCACGAGAGCGTGTTTGAATGATTTGTTTAGTTGTGATTGTTGTTGTTGTATATTTGCTTTGTAGGTCAGTTGGTAATCCATAAAATGTCTTTGTCTCATGATGAATCAATAACTTATAAAGGAGTTAAAAGTCTGTCTGCTGCTAAAAGAGGAACATATAAGGAAAACATGAATGTCTGATAGGGTTTATTTATAGTTTACCATCCTGAGGAAGTAATATGTAGTTATCTTTAAAGTTGTCTGTTGGTTTAAAGTCTTTAATGGATAAAACTGTGTTTGAGGCCCTGTGAGGAGCCGTTTGTTCTTTGAGTCCAGGCAGCAGGAAGATGTATAGAGCGATCATGTGAGCAGAGGTCATGTCCTGTTGTGGCTGAGAAAAGCTCTGCTGCACTTCCTCACAGAAACCCTGCAGAAGGTTTACTGCTCACCGACACTCTTGAGCTCGTGTAAAACAAAACAAAAACCCAGAGTGCTGCTGAAGTTACTTGAAAAGCGTCGGTGTCTTTGTACGTTTAATCTCATTTCCTCTATTTTCCATTTTCTCTGTCTGGTTCTGATTTATCTTCAGACCACTGATGTAACGTTTCTGCACACACAGGATATGATATAACTCTCCTCTGCTGTTGGATCATTTTAGGGGTAAACTTAAGTTTATTCCATTAAAAAAACCTCTTAAATCCTTAAATCCTGGGTGAAGGCTGATTAGAAGCATTTGTCGGCTATAAACGAGTTTTTACACAGTTTTTAAAGCAGCAAGAGGCCACTAATTTCTAAAGAAGCCAAATTAAGTTCTCTCTACTGAAAGTGTGTCAAACATATGAATGTCAAAGGTAGCATTTTAAAATGACTCGACAAAGAGGAACAGAAGAATACGAGTGTTATGTGAGCGCTCTTGTTCCTCTTATGATGTTTTAAAAGTGGTTTAAGTTCCTAAAAAATCTGCTTTAAACATTTCAAGTGAGAACATTTTAAAGTCTCCAGATACTGAATGTGAACGAGTCGCTGCCGAAGTAACAAAAAAGTATCTGACGAGTTTCTCACATCGCTCTGTGAAAAAGCACGTCCAGTCCTCACCACAGCTCACTTTCTGTTCCCTGTTTACCGCTCAGTTACAGACTGTGTGACCCTTCTGGTAACAACATCAGCAGCTTTTACTGTTAATGACACAGAGTCACACTGAGCTTCTATCAGGGGGGAAATGTTACTACGATACAAACGATATGAGCTCATTTTAATTTAGTTTTCACTTCCAGCCTCTGTGAGTTGATGTGAAAGTCGATGATACACAGACACAGCGTGAGCAGCAGTTAACCATGTCTTTGTCTTTGAACTACGCCAGTGGTTCCCAATCTGGGGGGTGGGGAGCCTCATTAGGGGTCAGCAAAGCCGCACGGGGGGGTAACTTCTGTAAGAAAATGTAATAAATACACACAGTAGACTAATATCTCAGCATTTGGTTCCCTTCTGTGAAGTAAAGTTAGTTGTTAAAAGCGTCAGGGAGAAGAAAATACTGAATTAATCCCAAAAAAAAGCTTATTAAATCTGTATGATTGTTAAAAAATCATAAAAAATACATAATACAGAGAATTGTATAAAAAGTTCCATAAACGGGAAATAATCTGCTCAAACTTCCTCCAAACCTCTTGTTTTACACAAACTTCCTGCAGTTACTGAGTTCACTGTTTTAATATAATATGAAAATATCCATAAAATATGTCACTGAGTCAGTTTATTAAACGACAGGGAAAGGGGTCCCTTAAGGAAAAGTGGACTACGCTACGGCTACGAGTCACCACACAGTCACCAGCTCTGCAGATTGAGAATTCTGATGGAAACTACCACAAATAAAAGGAAACGCAACTCCCTTAAAGACCGGGGAATGACTGAGAACTGGGAGAAGCCGGTGGAAGACGACCATAAGCACTGTGAACACTTAGCTTCCTTTAATGCTTACTGTATTTACTTAGAATAGAAACAGCACTGGTCCCACATTGTCCAGGACAACGAATATAAAGGGCAGAAGTGATAATAATATTACTTCTTTCTGAAACTAATGCTGTTTGAGAGCACAAATTATTGATTTGAGGGTAAAAAAAAAAGACTAATTTGTGGCACAAATGATCAATATCTTACTCTTAATGGCCACCTGGCTTTATGGGATCACACTCACTGACCTGCAGGAGTGTTTTCATAACTCCACCTGGTGAATATTTAACCTGACCTGAATGTTTAAGTCTCACAACTCAACATAAACACGACCCACAATGCGTGGCTCAAAGGTCAGAGACGTATAGGTCTACAGACTGTTCTGGAGCTATAGTAAATGTGGTCAGCAAACAACATTATCTCTTACAAACACTGTGACTCAGACCTTTATGGTTGCAGACGGCTTTAATAATATAAAACGTTATAAAAGTTATAATGAGGTCAGGCTCAGGGAGTTGTTTCATTAGTTTCTATTTCCATTTGCTTTTCAATTCAGTTTAGTTTCCAAAGTTTTTATTAGCTTCTGTTAGTTTTAGTTGTTTTATTATAATATGGGATGTATTTGTCAGAATAGGTAATGTAAAAATACACAAAGTGTCTGCTTACAAATGACCAAAACTAAAGACAGTTCCTGTTATCTTTATTTTATTTAAGTTGCTTTTGTAAGGACACAAAATTGTAAAAATGTGTTTATTTTCCCACAGACATTTAGTTTTATTTAACTACGTGAACTTGATGAGCCCATTTTGTTTATTGTGTTGAGTCCAAAGAGGCTTCACACACTCACACACACTAAAAACATTTTAATAAACGTTTCACTGGAAGAACTTTGGAGAAAGTTAAAGAGCTTCCTCCACAGTTCTTCTACGCACTGTGTGAAGGTGTGAAACAACATCAAGGCTTCTACATAAACAGTTTACTGCTATCAATTAATGTCAATTATCAAATGATTGTCATTGACGTACCAACTTCTTACTGGTGTCGACATACTGATAAAAACCCCGATTCCAACTGTCAGAATTAAGAAAAGCAAAAAGGATAATTCACTTTTTAAAATGAAGCTTTTTATAAATGTTTTCTTGCAGCGTTCTCGCACATTTCTGAGAATATAGAAGCAGATTTAAGTAAATAAAGTAAAGACCAACAGATTTAAAAACACACCCACCCATTACAAACACTTTTAATAAATAATAAATTAATAAAACTGAAAAATGAATCTTTGTTTGGTCACAATGCGACTCTACGCTGTTGAACACATCACACGTTTCTGTGTTGTTGTTGTTTACCTCCTGTCCCCAGCGTGCCAAAGGATGAGTCAGCTCTGTGATCAGTTATTATTTTATTGAAAACTTAAAAGTGATATTCCCGCATATGAAAATGCTCCAAACACAAAGACATTAATTTTTAGAGTAAATGTGATTCAGATTGGTGCGTTAGCAACAGACTAAAGATTGTGAACATATAGAATCATATAACTGTGATACACTATTCCCCTTTTTAAAAAGATCAACTTCTATGAATCTTAGCCTGAACGGAGGAACCACCCGAGGAGTCCGACGCAGAGGCCGAACTCGCCGTCTCTGGTTCAGACCCTCGAGTTTCCTCCTCTCCCTCCTCCCCTGCTCTGCTCTGCTCCGAGCCGGACCGCCGTCATTCCTCGGCGGGGGTCGCCATCTTCACGAGGCTGTTCTTGTCGAACCTGAAGAGCCTCCAGCCCTCCTCCTCGGAGAGATCCTCGGCGCCGCGCCGCTTGTAGAACTGGACGGACGGCTCGTTGTTCTCCGCGACGACGAACATCATGCCGGTGCAGCGCGTCTTCATCGCCAGCTGGAACGGGGACGAGAGCGTTAAAGTGGGGGGGGGTACTCCAACAGGACGCATGTTATACTGTAACAGTAAAGCCTACGTTTCCCAGAATGCAACTGCTTGGTAAATGTTTTCTGTTAAATACAAACACAAACTGGAGTTTTTAAACTAAAAGTAAAATTTAAACTTGAGCTTAAAGATCTGATTGTTCTAATTTATCTTATTTATAGATTTTACTGGAGCCTCAGTTCTCCAACGTTTTCCTGCCTTTGTCTCATCCAGAAATCTGTGTCTGATTCACATATTTAGCTTTTAACTAGAACCAAGAAATATAGCGTTTGCAGTCACACTCAGATCTTGAGATCTCCTGAAAGTCCATTCTTCAGACTCTTTCACACAGTGACAAGAAATAAAATACAAACAGTCTGAATAATAGAAAAAAAGACGGGATAAACACATTTAAACTGAAATTCAACAGTTATTTATAATAAATAATGTCTCGGCCTCTATCTGGACCTCCTATGATCCTGATTATAACCCCCCCCCCTCCAAACACTGTGCTGTACTCAGCTTTGCTCCAGTAAACATACTCACATTACTGAGATGCCGCAGGAGCTCCGAACCGATGCCCAGCCCTGGAAAGAGAAACCACAGAGCTCATTAATAATACAGACGCAACCAGGAAGCAGTTAAATGTGGACCGGACCAGATTCTGACCTCTGTACTGCTCCATCACGTAGAAGTCCTCCAGGTAGAGCTGTTTGCCCACCCAGGGGTCATAGGTGAAGTAGTACATGGCAAAGCCAACCACCTTCAGGCCTGAAGAGTTAGACAATGAAATGGTTGAGCGTGCTGCTGCTGCATGTTTTATATATTTATATATTTTACTATAAACGTGTTTGTTATGGTCCTTATATTGTATTATGTGTACATGCACTATATAACTACCTGTGTTTAGCTTTATATGACTCTCTAACACAACCTCAATAAGGGTTTCAGACTCAGACTACTGGACTCCTTCTGCACATATATGTATGTACAGATATTTATTAATAAGTATTAAGGTGTTTTTTCTTTGTCCTACTTCTTGTGCTGTTTGAACTTGTTATTGTTTAAGTACCAACCTTTGGTCCTTAAACTGAAGAACTACAAGTCTGGACACAAGTTTAGTCAGGAACAGTTAAATGAGATTTCCTGATGTAGTGTTACTATGTTAAACACGGCGTGGCCATTAGATCTGAGCGTGTTTATATAAAGAGTGAACATCTGCAGCTGGGCGTCTCCCACTTTAACAAACACCTATATTTATTTTACAAAAAAAAACAGGAAGCACATACTGTATACGGTTGATGTAAACACTGTCGGTCTGAGCAGATGGGGGGGGAAGCAACGTCACCATAAACTCATGCTGAGGGAAGAGATCGTTACAGAAACTAAATATCTATTTTTAGGTCAAAGACAAAAGGACACGTGGCGGCGGTAAGGAAACAGAACTGCCACTGTGAGGGTCTGCCAGGACTTTAAAAAGGTTGGTGGTGAAGGAACTTGAGCCTGAGAGTGAGAGCGAGTTGTTTTATGGATGTTGGGCTGCTTCGTACCGTCACTGCTGTTCTCTCCTTGGATTTCAGCGATGATGCAATGGTAAAACGGGGTGTCACCGAATCCATCCTCAAGGAGCTCTGCAAGGAGGAGAGAACACGTGTAAATACAAAGACAAAGACTGACCATATAATGTGTGTTTACAGACAGCTGCAGGTCAATTAAAAGCTCACCTTTCTCAGTCAGTGTCACCTGGCTCTCCATCTCTTCGTATTTTGCAAGTTCCTGGGACGACAAACACGGAAGTTAACCCGTTATGTTTTGGAGTAGAGAAGATGTGTGACACCAAACGAAGCCAAAACAAATACACACCCAATGACAAGACATTCTGACACACATTATTTAATATAAAATAATAAATGTGTCATGCGCGGGACATTTTACACTTAAATAAACCTTTCGGTGCTCTCTGTGATCCCTTTTAACGGTCCTAACGTCATCTAAACCGCAATATGGAGGAGTTTATGTGAGGACTTATATACAACTACTACATGCTGATATATGTGTTTTAACTAATATTGGAGCTCCTGTATGATTTAAGAACGTATTATTCCTTAAAGGTCATTTATCAGCTAAAATAGAGCTTTAATAGACTAAATTAATTATTATTATTATATATTATACCCATTATCAGCAGCCCTGGTCGCGTTATCCATGTCAGGAGTTATATAGAAAGGGTAATAACATTAATTTATTAATAATATTAATTCAGGGGCAGCACTGATAAGAACATAAGCCGGACGTCACACTGACCATATTTGGTCAACCGGCGGTCATACCGGATGTGAGTCGTCTGTCCGTAAACAAAAAGCCACCGACACTAACCGACACTCGGACCTCCTCCGGACATTGTCCACCTGCCGGTAGCTCACCGTTAGTCGGTGTAATTCATCTGATTCACCGTTTAACGCCTCGTTTAGTCTTCATGAGCTCCAGCGCGGCCGGAAGTAGTTCACGGGAAAGGTCGAGACAACGGTTAGCTAACAGCTAACCGCTAACAGCTAACAGGAACTCAACCGTTTGTGTTTAATTCGTATCGATTAATAATCGATTTATTTCCGTTGTCTCCGAGCACACGTACTGGTTCTGGTGGCTCGGGCCTAGCTTACCTTCACCAGTCGTAATATATCAGACACGTCCCGGGGTTCAGCTTTTCGTAATTTATACTCCATTTTCTTCTTTTACTCTTTTTTCCTCTCGTTAGAAGTCCTCTGTATGTGAAGTGAAAGATAAGTTGTTTCTTCATTCGCTTCAGAGTGGCTTTTTCCCCACGGTCAGCCTGTGATCCGGACGCGTTCGTCGAGACAAGAACATCCAGTAGAGCTCGCCCTCGGCTGGGTCGCTGCCGTTCAACTGTCCGCTCCTTTGTTTACATCGGCGCCTTTATACCCGGCTCGCGCTGGAACCTGATTGGCCGATCCTCCGAGCGCTCGGGTTTCTTAACCAATCAGCGGCACCCTGTGGCGTCCGCTTTAGCCAATCGGCGACCGAGGAATGCTGACGTGTCTGTCTGTTTTGATGCTGTCATAAGATCTTTGTTTTTGACGGCGGAGAAAGAAACTTCGATTTTATGCTTGAAGTAAAGTAACGGGCTCGTTTTAAAAGTTAAAGTTTTAGCATCTTTAGCAGCAAAATAAGTCTCATTTACGCCAATATGAATGTAAAAACACTTGTTTTATGTGTTCCTTTAAACATATTGAGAACAATTACTGTATAAGGTTTTATTAGATTAGATTAGATTAGATATTCCTCTATTTGTTCCACAATGGGGGAATTTCAATGTTTCAGCAGCAAAGTGGATAGAGAAAAGAACAGTATAAAAAACTGTATTAAAAAAAACAGTAGGAGTAGGGAAATAATAAAAAAAACACTATGTACAAGAGAAAAAACAGTAAGGATCCACAAACAAGTTTCAATTCAGTTAATTTGCTGCAAGTTAATTGTACAGTTTTTAATAAAATGCCACTTTACGAAATGATAGAAAGTCGTTTGTTGTGTGTGCTGCAAGGCCGTTAAAACCTTAACTGCACACAAGTAATTTAACCTACTTGTATAACACAAGTGGAATTTTCCGCCTCTCACAGACAGTGAGGTTGGATGGGGCCCCTGGCTCTATCACTGGTTCCCAACATGGGGGTCAGGACCCTCACTAGGGTTCGCCAGAGTCTAATGGAGGTCACAAGGCCTTCTTGATTTAAAGGTGTGTAAGAAAAATTAAAATAATACACATTTAGTCCTATATATATATATACACTTAGTAAATTGACTAATAGAACAATGGCCAAAGTGTCAGGGAGAAGAAAACACTGAAGCCTATTAAGTCTGTGTGATTGTTAGAAATGATTAAAAAAAAATACACAAAACAGACAGATAAATGCATAAAAAGTTATCTGCTCAAAATCCATCCAAATCACTCGTTTTACACAAACTTCCTGCAGTTTACGAAATGATATCAAAGGGCACCTGTAAGGAAAAATGTTGGGAACAGCAACTCCAAACCCCATAAGGCGAGTTAAACCCTAACAGCACACAAGTAGTTAAACACACCCCGTACTAGTCACACAAGTGGAATTTTCCACCCCTCACATCCACAGTGAGGTTAGATGGGGCCACAGGCTATATCACTGTTACAACCATATGCAATGGTGGAAAACAATATACAGATCCAAGACCCCAGTCGGCGGTACTCCAGGCCTTTAGTGGTGCGCTTACACAAAGTTAATGGACTTGTGAGAAACACATTTGTAGGAAAGAAAGGTCAAAATTGATGCAGCAGACATTTAAGTTTGGGTTAAGGTCCAAAAACATAATATTCTCAGACTGGACAAAGCTCCTGCAGAGTCACAGAGGGCATCATACAGCTGTTTTCTCAGGCTACTTGTCATCTTCCACTTTGGTTGAGCAGGTTGTAAAAAATGCATTTCCAGTAGACGATGTGATGCTGTGGTTTTAAAGCCACGGCCCAAAGTGTGGGACAACAAATAATGGCTTATAACTGATCTATAAAATGTTGATAAACCGTTATTATAACAGTATATATTATATTATTACAGTATTATTTATAGAAAGTCATATATTTGCAGTGGCCTGTATCAGATTCTGCAATAACAACCTTACATATAACAGAGGCAGCATTTCTAGTAACAGCTCAGTTTATTGTTTACGTTCTATATTTAGCCAAGAGTTTATTGTTTGTATTTTTTTATACCTCTTTTATTTTCTCCTTTTGTACGCTGCTGGAAATCCAATTTCCTTGAGGGAGTCAAAAGGGTTGAATAAAGAGAAGTCCTTCCTTCCTGCTGCTCTTTGTGTTATCTGATGTTTGTGTTATCTGCTCTTTGTGTTATCTGATGTTTGTGTTATCTGATGTTTGTGTTATCTGATGTTTGTGTTATCTGATGTTTGTGTTATCTGACTGTTTTTATTTGTTACTGTTGCTGTAACATTGGAGTTTCTCCATTGTGGGACAAATAAAGAAATATCTTATCTTAAAATCTCCAGAACGTAACGTCTGACGTCACGACGCAGTGTGCGGAGCCGAGTGCGAACCCGGAACTCGTCCTGCCTGCTCCTCGCCGCCGCACTCCTCCTGAAAAGAGGAAAACTGAGATTGTTCTCTGTTTTTAATCAGCTCACCAGCTTCGTTTGGACCCCGGACACTTTAACGGTGACACCCCGGACACTGCAATGCTCTCACCGAGGTCAGTGGGTTAAAAACTGAGGTTGAATTATTAATTACAGAAGCAAAGCTAACAGTTAGCATCGTTACAAACCAGATAAATGGAGGAAAGCTAAACATCCTTATAAACTGCTGGTGTCTCTTTAATCCATAAAGGAATCAATGTGTGTGTGTGTCACTGTCTGGAAGATTATTGCTGCAGGACAAACTCATTCACACACTTTAAGGGAAGAAATGTGGAGTTTTAAAGTCTTTAATGGGAGTTTTAAAGTCTTTAATGGGAGTTTTAAAGTCTTTAATGGGAGTTTTAAAGTCTTTAATGGGAGTTTTAAAGTCTTTAATGGGAGTTCAACTTCTTTAGCTGTCAGATCAATATGTTTCTCTGAAGTATGAAGCTTTTATACCCAATCAATCATTGTGTGTTATCCAGATGAGACAGGGATGTGAACAGATAACTTTAACTTTAATCAGTGTAACAAAACAATTAAATATAAATAACTTAAATATACATACAGTTAAATGAATTGAGGTTCTGTATTACTTTATGTTTATTACGTTTGTCGTTATATCCTGACACTTTATACATCATTTAAACTCCAAAGTGACTTCTTCTTTGGACAAATATGATATAATATCTTTAAAAAGGAGTGCAGTGTTAAAATCAATACAGAATAAGTGCATGAAAAGTGTTTTTCTCTTTAAATATAATGGAGTAAAAGTCACGAGGTACTTTATCTCTTTATTACATCAGAACATCTGGATTAACTGCTGTCACTTTCCTCTGGTGTCTATAATCTAAACACGTCTACCTGCCAGTGAAACATCACCAGTCTCACATTAACCAGCAGGCAGTGAGAGTCTGTCTGTCTGTCTGTCTGTCTGTCTGCCTGCTCAGCTGTTCACTGTGGGGCAGCCGGGTGGATTAAAAACAGATCCGATGCCTTTGGATGGTTATAATTAGATTAAAAGGATGTTGGGGTGAAACTGGACTCCTTGTGGCCTTCAGGTTCCTGCTGCTGCGGTCGGCCGCGTCCTTGACGACCAGGTCTTTCCGCACAGGGGGCGTGTTGATGCACGGCAAGGCGCCGGACATGGTTGAAGGTAAGACTGCAGCCATACTTCCTGTTTGACCCCCCCCCCACCTGGCACAGATCTGCTATAGACGTATGAATCACACATTTAATCTTGTCTGAACATCAGAAATAACTTGATGAACGTACATGAACACTTAGACGTTTTATAAGATGTCTCCTGCTTCAAGTTTCTACATCACACGTGTATAAATGTATAAACGTACTAATCCTGCTCATTAATATCAGACTTTTAATGAGCACAGAGAAACTTTTCCACTTTCAGGAGGTGAAACATGTTTTTAATATCAAACTCAGCTCAGTGAAGCTCAAACATCCAACTGTAGGAACAAGAAGGGACTGGAAGGGGACTTTAATTGTTTTTGTTTCTCCACAGGAAATCCACTTTTACACGTGTCCAATGGTGTGTGTTGAACAAATCCTTGACCAATCCTTCCACGCCTCCTACCTCTATTAAATCCCCTCTAATTCGCTCTAATTGCACGTTAATTTCCTCATGCATGTTTCCTCACATCCCTTCTCTTTGACACTTCATGCACAGCAGCTTTTTACTGTCACCCGCCCTTTTTGTGGAGGTCTGGATTTAACGTTCACGCCGGTTGGATTTCTCCTCCTGCTGCACAGTAGAGCTAAACCTCGTCTTCGTCGGTGGTCTGTTAACCTTCTTCTTCTTCTTCCCTCTGTGGCTTTTGTTACAGCTGACTCCCCTCCTGATGCAGTAGTTGTCGTCCTTCGACTGCTTCTTTCCTCTGTGTTGTTTCACATTGTCTCAGTTTGAGCCTCAGTAAGCTGCAGCCTTCAGGAGAGAATTCATTTACTGTTGAAGTCATCATCAGGTCACTCCAGTTTGGTAAATTTAAGTGCGATTGCTTAAGATCTCTGAGATTAAGAAGTGAGTTACGACCTTTTTGGCTTCATTACATTAATTATTACTGTTTTCCCTGAAGGCTCCAGCTGGAAACATACAAGTGTAACAGTCTGTTTGTTGGTTGCACGGCTTTGGATGAAACAGAGACAGTATGAAACATATGGCCTTGAACTTTTAGTGCACCACTACGCACGCGCACACACACACACACACACACACACACACACACACACACACACACACACAGGAGAGCTGATGGTATCTTCTGTGTTTTTCAGTGCGAAACAAGCTGAGAGAAATCGTGGGAGCTTCCACTAACTGGAGGTACTGAAGAGAACACAATAATATTTGTTTCATTTTCTTTTGGTGGATCACTGAGGTCCTTTGTTACTGTGTCTTATAACCAGCACTGAATATAAATATATTAATATTGTACTTTTACTCATTTATTTGACATTTACAGTTGCTGTCTACATATAAAAACATATAATATGCTTATATGATATGATGCAGTGATACTGTAACACCATTCAGTCTTTTTACTTTAAATAAATGCTACTGTACTTTTACTCGAGTAACATTTTGAATTCAGTAGTATTTTTTTGCACTTTTTGAGCAACATTAACATGTTTTTTGGTACAAATTGTTCTTTACATAAGAGGCCAAATTATAAAAATTGTCAAAATTTAGATTTAAACCTCAGTCTCACATCAAAACCCCTTCTTCACAGTTTTCTTGTAACCTTTGCCCTTCAAAGAATCAGTAAACAATGACTCTGACAAACACACATCTGTTGCCCACAAATACCCCAAAATTTGTAAGAATTGTATATTAAATAATCTTTCCAATGATGTTGTGTGTCAGTGATCACCAGCAGGCCATGGCGGAGCGCGTGTCACTGTCGTCCATGTTGGCGAAGTCTCAAAACGACCTCCCGGCCAAGAGGATGAAGGACAGCTACCAGGAGGTCCACCTGCCTCTGGGCTCCGAACCACAGCTCAGAGAGAAATACCTGACCTTCCACAACACTGTCAGGTACACACACACACACACACACACACACACACACACACACACACACACACACACACACACACACCAATCAATACCAGTGTGTGGGTTAACTTCTCTCTCGTCTCTTTCCAGGTTTGGTAGAATCCTGGAGGACTTGGACAGTTTAGCAGGTATCACTGTGACACACGTTGATGATTTCTGTTCAAACTAAAACAGGAAGTTCGACACAGTCAAACGTTTTCTTCCCTTCGTGTCTCTCCTCAGTCCTCATCTCTTACTCTCACACCTACAACGAGGCTCTGAAGAGGTCTCCTCTGTCCATCGTCACCGCCCTGGTGGATAAGATTGGTAAGAGTCTGAACAGTGACGCAAAGTACTTACTAAATCTGTACTTTCACTACTTTTATTTGACAGCTTTACTTACAAATCCGGATTTAACACATTTAAAATGTTTAAGAACCTTAAAAACTTTTTATATAATTACATTATTTATTACCTACAAACATGCTTGTTTCTGAACGTACCTTTACATCCACATGTGGTCAGGTTTGAGTAGTTTAAGATCTGTCCTCACTTTGTTGGACAGACATGAGGCAGCACATCATCTATCCTGACTGCGACATCAAGTTCACCGGTCATGTGACGTGGGTGGGAAAGACCTCCATTGAAGCCAAGATGCACATGTCACAGGTAGACACTCGCCCCTGCCTCCACACACACACACACACACACACACACACACACACACACACACACACACACACACACACACACACACACACATTCGCTGGAATGAAACAGGAAGGATCTGATAACGTGACTCTTTTGTTTCAGTTCCGGGATGGAGCGTACGCCCCGGTTCTGGATGCTACATTCGTCATGGTGGCTCGGGATCCAGAAAACAAGAGGTAGGACACTCATAAAGCCTGAGGTACATTCACACAGAAGGAATAATAATTGATTATGATCGACAGATTAGTGTGTCAGTGTTTAGACTCTCTCTCTCTTTATTTCACTAATGTTGATTTAATCCTCGGTTGTTGTTTCTTTCCGTCTGTTTCTTTATTTCAGGGCAGCTTTTGTGAATCCACTGAAGCCAGAAGGCCCAGAGGACGAGAAACTCTTCCAGGAAGGAGAAGGTATGAGATCATGACAACAACCTTGTTTGTGATAACATAACGCTGTTATTTTTATGCCTTTAAACTGTATTATGTTTGTGTGTTTTCCAGCTAATAAATCCCGCCGTGTGGATCTCAGTACCGCGTCGTTGCTGAAGGTGGCCCCCACAGACGAGGAGAGGAAGATCGTACACAGTCTGTTCCTCAACACGCTGGACACAAAGTATGACTGACCCGTTTACACCTGCTACTGAAAGGATCATTTGTGTCCAGGCTGTAGTACAGTTATAAAAGTTGTTCATTGTGTGTATTCTTTGTGTCTTCTTCCCCTGAAGGACGGTTAGTTTCCGCAGCAGAGTTCTGCCTCCAAACTCGGTGTGGATGGAAGATGCCAAACTGAAAGGACTGGAGATCTGCCACCCTCAGGTGAGAGGCTGTTTGAGGCTTGATGCATCAATCAACACTTAAAGATAAAATATTTCTGCATTAAAATGTGTATAAACTCTGGCTTTATGTCCTATATGTAGTTGAGTTCTTACATTATCTAAAATGTTTCCAACAAAGTTCAAACTCAGAGAAATCTATAATTTTATTCAGGTAACGCTGCGTTTCACCGGTCGCCTGTCGATGGCGTCATATCCCCTTTGTGCCTGCGTCAGCGTTGTGGTTGTCTGCCAGAAGCTGTCATACATTGACTGTTGATCCAGTCTGAAGCCACATTGTTACCATCCACTGTTTAGATCTTGGTGCTTTTTAACTCTTTAAGGATTTTAGTCATCGGACGTCTGGATCTTAAGTTATCAGAGAAACAAGCTGAGCTAACGTTAGCAGCAGCTCGGCTCGCAGCCCCTCCGGGACGTCCTTTGTCTGTCCAACAGCGTGGGAGAAGCAGTGATTGTTAAGGTGGAACTGCTTTATTCAGTGTGTTTAAGGTGGAACTGCTTTATTCAGTGTGTTTAGTGGTTTTAATCAGCGGGTCTGTTTGTGTTGGAGAGGAGGAGACCTCTGTGGATCATTGGGCTCCCGGTAGAAACCTCCTGAACCATGAACACTGAAGGAATCCTAACCGGGAGAAGCTGACTGCAATCTATCGTTAATCTCATCTGTAACTTCAAACCGTTTCTATCTGTCTGTGTGTGTGTTGAGCAGGAGAGGAACATCTTCAACAGGATATTTGGAGGTTTTCTGATGAGGAAAGCCTACGAGTTGGGCTGGGCCAACGCCTGCTCCTACGGGTGAGAGCTTATGAAGAAAGAAAGAGCATCGTGTTTAAGCAGAATATTGGTTGGATGTTAAACTGTGTGTCGTCCCCCCCACGGTGTGCCGCAGAGGATGTCGGCCGAGTCTGGTGGCTGTTGATGATATCCTCTTCCAGAAACCCGTGGAGATCGGCTCCCTGCTGCTGCTCTCATCACAGGTCAGAGAGTCTGTGGGATAACAATAACCAGTTAAATGTTTTTGTATTCAGTTTCTTCTCCATCCTTGTTTCCATCAACAACCGCAAACAGCAGACTGACACAGTTAGAGACCAACTGGTGAACATAGTGGAGCATTTAGCAGCTAATGAGCGAGATATTTCCCTCAGGAGGTGATAGAGACCACAAACAGAGCTAAGAGAGAGGATTATTGTGTTGTTCTGTGTCTGTCTGTTAACATATTAACTTCATAAGGTGATTAAATGTTGGTTGTTCTGCTGCCAAAAGCCAAAAAAATCCATTAATGCAGCTTTGACTTCTTGAACATTACAAATATGAATCCTTCCTAACGTCCTTACATATGCTATGTTACCATAATGTGTGTTTCAGGTGTGTTACACACAGGGGAAGCACATCCAGGTCAGAGTTCACAGCGAGGTGTTTGATCCGCTGACTCGCCAGCACAACACCACCAACGTCTTCCACTTCACCTTCGTATCCGACCGCGACGTCCCCAACATTATTCCAAATACATACGGAGGTGAGCTCATTCATTCGTACTGTACTGGACTTTGACTACACTCACAAAGCCAGTTTCTAGACTTTCTCCCAGCTTTTGTTGCTAAAACTGGGTGGAAACAATTAGAGAGTTTAAAAAACCTGCATTGTAGAACCAATCCAAAGACATACGGAGGCTGTGTGATTGTAAACACGGTCCTAGAACACTTCCCTGGACGTCTGTTTTCAGTATTTTAAATAGCTCTGTGCATCAAAGTGCATCGTTTCAGGTAAGACGTGTGTTGGAATCTGCTCAAACAACCACTTTGCATTTAGAAATCCCTGAACTCGTAAGATGTTTAACTGATGACCTCTCGTTCTGCATAACTTTAAATCACCATGAACAGAAAAAGTCCAAACAGACTCTTTTAAATTGAGAGTGGTCGGTTTACCTGCTGGTGTTTTTTGTGTTTGTCTGACAGAGTCGATGCTGTACCTGGACGGGAAGAGACACTTTAATCAGACTGTGGAGAACTGAAAGCAACGTGTGTGATTGTATGTGTGTGTGTGTGTGTGTTGGAGGTCGGTGGAGGAGAATGAATGCAGTTAACGCAGCATAAATCCTGTTTATATCACGCTTTGTTCATTTCACACAACCCACATGGTGGCCTGGTTCCGGTTACTTTATTTGTTCCGGTGGTTTACGTTTCGGTGTCGGGAGAGCTCCTACAATGCAACATTTATTATTTTTTAAATTCATTTATTTTATATTTTATATTATATATTATCATTCTATTCTTTATTTCACTGTAACAGTTACTTCGTCAGCGTTTACAGATTCTCAGCAGTCGTGGTTGGACTGGTGAAAATGAGGCAAAACTCTTCACTTTTATATTCTGAATGTGTCAGGCTGCTGCGAGAAGGGGGGGAGGGGGTCATTTCTTCTGGCTTTAAATTGTATATTTACTCAAATGCAATAAATGAATTCTTATTTATGACGTTACAGTTGTTTGTGTGTTTTATTATGTTTGATACAAGTGATCATTGGTGGGTCTAAAACGGAAAGACCTTCACTTATCTGTGTGACATCATCCCTCATTATTATAAAGGAGATGTGAACATATACAAATACATAAATATAGAAATAACTGAGAATAAATTTGTGTATTAAATAATTTTTATTAATAATATTTTGACAAAATATAGTTTTGTATTCATCATTCTCATATATAAGCATATTTATGTATTTCCTTTGTCACTTTTGGACCCCGACCCTTCACAGTCTGGTATAAAAATAAAAGATAAATACCAAAATGTTTACATATCATTTGATTTTATCTTTATTCCAAATAGTTGTGTTCTGAGTTGAATATAATAAACTAACATGTTCTGAGATGCCTTTAGTGCACAGTAAATAAAGTCCAGTTCATAAAAAGAGCCTCTGAGAAACAAAGTGTTTATATGTAATGATTTATATTATTACAAGGGCTAATTAATAATACTAATTAAAACTATAAAGGCAGAAATTCCACTGTGTAGCTTTAAGTATGCAGCACAAATCTACATTTATGATACCAAATATATATTCCTGCTGTATTACAGGAATGTGAACTTTACACTATTTCATATTGTGAATTAAAGTTTGCCTGTAATCTGTAATCTGCCTCTAACTCATTAATTAGTCTAAATTAACAACCTTCCTTTTATCTGCATTACTGTTTAAATAACTGACACGGGCTGCTTTTTACTGTTAAATATCTTAATTTATTTCTAATCTTTTCAGGTTATTTTAAAATGTTTAACGCTTTTTTTTTGTGTTGTTTCGTACAGAAGCCCTAAAGGTCCATGCATTCATACATTTTATGTCCTCTGTTTTCCCGTGATAACGAGTTAAATTCATTTTCTCGAGATAGCGATGTAATTAATTGGAGATCTAACTAATCTAGTATAGAAAGCATAAACGCACAGTAGTGTTTAAGAAACCCATCGGACAGCAGACCTTTCACATCACAGTCATTATCTCCAGATCTCTAATTAATTATATCGTTATCTCGGGAAAAACAAAGTGTCGTTATCTCGGGAAAAACAAAGTGTCGTTATCTCGAAATTATCCCGTTATCTCGGGAAAACGCAGGAAATAAAATGTATGAACGCATGGACCTTTGGGGCTTTCGTAGTTTTGCGTAATTAAATGTTAAATTAGAATTTCTTCCCGCTATAAAAACCCGGTGCGGAACCAACGTTCGCTCGTTTCCCCGCGGACTCGTTCCTCCCGCGGACCGCCGTTATAATCCGTGCAGAGCGGGTCGTCGGTCACTAGCATGAAAACGATGTTAGCTATCATCTCTAACGCGCTCTGTCGGATCACGGGCCGGACTGTGGTGAGTGGTTCGGGGGCTTTACGTCGAGCTGTGTGTGTGTGTGTGTGTGGGGGGGGCCCGGTTCCGACCCGATGCTAACCTGCTAGCTAGCCTGGTTGTGTTTGGCTTGGGGCTGACCTTGTGAGCACGTTAGCCACAGCGGCTAGCTCTGTTGCTATGGGGACTGTTTGCACGTTGTCTTCAGATTAATGTTTGTTTATTTATTTATTGATAATGTTTGATTTATTTATTTATTTATTGATTTATTGATTGATTGATTGACTTGTGGAGGTCTGTCTTCCTCCTGTATTGATTAGGACGCGCTGATGTGATCGGTTCTGATTAATATCGGGTTTATAATGTTTCTGATTCTCCACAGTGGACTTTTTTTTTTAAATATTTATTATAATAAATGTGTGTTTGAGTTAAAATATCTTCATTTTGGGGCTTTTCCAAGTAAATATTGATCTCTGATTGTCTTAAAGTCTCCATCCATTAGACAAAACAGCTTGCTCCAAATCTTTAATTTAACCCAATCTGAGGAAGATGATGATGATACGGCCTCATCCTCATCCTCAGTGAGACTCTGCTGTGATACAAGTAAACATTTAAGAAGCTGTTTTTTTTATTTCTCTAGTTGCTCTAAAACGTCCACAACTTTTAACCGATTAATGTGACAATCAGTTGACCAACACATGTAAAAAGGTTTCAATTAAAAAACACATCAGTGCGTCTTTATTCTGTGTGTGTGTGTGTGTGTGTGTGTGTGTGTGTGCAGGGATCCTACAGTCCTCTGGATTATAAATCTGACCTCAATCTACACGTTATATTAATTTCTACTGTTGGCGTTATCGGACTGTAGGAACTCTGCTGTTGTACGGCTTTATCTTTTGCTTTCGTTCTCTCCCTCCGGCTTCCTCTCCCTCTTCATTCAATCGCTCACACACAGTCAACAATCCCTATTTATGTCTTGCTTCTCTCCCTCCTCTCCCCCCCTTTTGTCCCCCTCGCCTGAACCCTAGGGAGCCCAAACAGTGTCCGAGGTAAGCTGATGTTTGTCTGTAGGCCCGGTTCCTACGCTTCCTTCCCTCTGCAGTGACGTTCAAACCCCAGAAGCTCCTCGAGTGCTTCTGAAAGTAGGAAGAAATAAGAGCTAATAAAGGAAATCTTCCATTAATGTTCATCTTACCTAGAATGCAACCTCTCAATCCAAACTGTTCACTGTGTTTAGTTCAAGTTTACCTTTTTTATTTCTTTGAATTTCATTGAAAAACATCAATATTGTGTTTTTAGTTGTTTTCTGTTCATGATGTTTGTTGATTATAATTTACAGCTCAGTGGTAGCACAGCGATATTTCTCATTGGCACAACATTTATCAGCTGTTGGAGCTTCCTTGGTAGCAAACAAACTCTCTCAGCATAAGTTTTTAAATAAATTAACTTTCTCTCTGTTACCTGTTTAATGAGAACAGCCCACGTTGTCCAGGCAACCGGCGTACTATTAAAACGAACGTCTCCGAGATGCAACAAATAACTTTAGATTGGCCTGAAAATCAGTTTTCATGCTTTTGTCTTAGTTTTCTAAAAAGGTTGAGGAAAGTACAACAATTTACATTTAGATTACGGCAGAAATTGGCTGATAATTAACAGTTTTTCTGATTAAAATAACCCGTAAATGACTGAATCAGATACCCGACAAGTCATTGCACTTCCTCTTATTCATCCAGAAAACTACAGTAACTGTATCAAACATCGGGGCAAAATCTGTAGTGGTTGACACGTTTTATTCAGTATAAATTGTCATTATTTAAAATGTTGTGCCAATTTTTTTAAATATCAGGTTCAGTGTAGACACTGTTGGGCTGATGTCCCCCCCCCCAGCGTGTTACTCCTTATTTTCTCCTCCTAGAAGTCAGAAGTCATCGTCTGTGTCTCCATTTTTAGCCGCTGCTTCTGTCTCCTCACCTGTAGACGTCGCCTCACCTGTACACTGTGTAGAGCTGCTCTGGTCTGATTGGTTGGCTCCTGTGTTCCCCCCCCAGTTGCTGATTGACCTGTCAGAGTACGTCAATGTAACCTCACCGGCGGCGCCCGCCTTGGCAGCGACTCCGCGGCAACCACCTAAACCACCTCCAGTCAGTGCTAGAGCATCGGCTGCAGAGTTAGTTAGCGCCCAGAGCGACCAGCTAGACAGACCAGTAAGAACACGTGTAGCATCCTCCATGTCTGCCTGATCACTAACCGGGGTGGGAAACTGGACTCCACATTAAAGTGGCTTTTATGCATTTTTTCCCCCTTTTTAAAATGTTTTGAAATCATTAACTGAAGATATGAAATAAGGAAGTTGTGGGTTTAAATAAGAAAATAAAGCACAGGTGACCGAAGAGGTCTGTCGTCTTTCAAGCACCCACATTTATCGTTTCATGGATCGTCTGTCACTAACCATTAACTTCACACACTTTGTCTTGTTTTCCTTATTAATTATTTAACCTATTATTAAAGTTAGAAATCCCTCACAACTTCCGCTTGCTCGAGCAAACACTTTACTTGTTTTGTCTGACCCAATAATACTTTAATGTTGCTATAACGTCAGACTTGTGGAAGAACAGATTACATTATCAGGATAATCTTGTTGGCTGTGTTGCTTTGAATGAACTTTGTCTAAAAATGTAAATCACTTCTGTTAGTTGGCTCAGAATTATGAGTTTATAATATATATTTTTTTTTAATATGAAACTGAGCAGTAATGTTCCTCAGATTCCCACATTGTGTATTTTAATCATTCATTGTACCCACAGATGTCGACTCCTGAGTAGGGATGCTCCGATGTCCGTGTCAGGTCCGACACTGCGCTCGTGTACTCGTTAACTGTAATCAGAAAACTACTCAACATTTAATTTGTTAGTCAGTGGAAATAAAACCTGTTTTTTAAAAGTCATTATTAGAACTTTAATGGTTTTATTAAACCATCCTGACTTCATACTGATGCCTCTCTATGACGTATGTAAACAAGACCATCAAAGAGAAGGCTGACTGTGTCTACCACGAGATTCCCATTGAAATCAATTGGCACTACCACTCTTGTCCACATGGGGCGCCATTAATCAACACAAATTAAAGGCTTTAAGTTCTCGTGTCGGCACTCGGTATCGGTGCATCCCTACTTCTGAGCTGGTAAACTGATGACTTACTCTTCATTTTTCCAGAACCAGCCCGTTGTTGGTGGAGTGAATGTTATTCTCCCACCCGGTTACTGACCTCCACTCAAACAGCTGTACAGTAGTTGTGTTAGGATGAATCACAAGACCTAAAACCAGATCCCCCCCGACACCTGTAGGCCCTCCGTCTGCAGAGGAGAGGAGGGCAGCCCCCGTGATGTCCGTGTGGAAGACTCCTTATTGTTTGTGTCAGTAATCATGAGCGGTGTGTTTTTAATTAACCCATGTTTGTGTGTTTTTGGTCACCAGGGTGCCAGAGTTGTGGTTTCCCGCTCCTTCGCTGACTTCACCCCTCAGGCGTCCTTTGACATCAAGGTGGGTCGAAACAAAAATCTAGAAAAGTAGAAGAAAGGAAACTTAAAACCTGCACAGAATATATTTTTGTTCCATCAAACTGCCGTTAACCGATCGGTTTCTGGC